AGATAGAGTTTGAATTTTCATATTGAAAAAATTTACATATATTGATCGGCGAAAAATCCGCACATATGATTTTTTATACGTGTGCTCAACTATGTTTGTGTTTATTATAATTTGTAACACCTCAATGATTGAAGTTTTTTTGTGAGAAGTAATAGTTGTTTAGTTTGTGTAATTTTGGAGGATCTATACCAATTTGAGATTTCAGAGATTATTGATTGGAATTGTGTCCAAATTAGAATTAGCTTACAAGACATTTTTAAAAGTGCAATTATTGATTTGATCGACAAACGCGTTTATTATTGGTTGGCGTTGTACATATTTTTTTTTTTGTTGACACGAACGATTGATTTTATTTTTTGACAGAGTCAAAACGTGAAAGTTGTTGTTTGGTTCCCCTAAAGAGGACATGTTAATAACTAACCAAGGTACTTTCTTTTATTTGTGTTGATATAATGAGGTGTCTTTTAGTTTATAAGTATTATAATGGCTGGGTAATTATAAGATCCTTGTCAAGATGATAACGAATGAACGATTGATATTTTGTTTTTTGTAATCAATAATATTAATAATATTAATATTAAATAATAATAAATATTTAATTAGATGTTAAGGCAACACGACTGAAACAATTCACATTTCGAGTATGCAATATTTGATTATCGAAAATTGGCAGATGTTGAAGCACGCACGCTGCCTTGAACACTTTACAGTCATTCACTTGTTTCTCATGTACATAGGCTAACTCTGACCAAGCTTGCCCCGATGATACGTTGATGCAACTAAATTTTCAGGGGGGGTTATCATGGCCCTGGAGTTTACCGAGACTGCATCAATCGTCAATGACACTTTCATTAATCTTCCCTCACCAGAGATGGCCGCTGGCATGCTAGCCAAAAAGTTACCTGCAACGATCCTACCTCTGGGTAAGGCTGGCGCTGTGTCCAAGTCGTATTTTGAAGAGTTGTGATATTAGGTGAGATCATCAAAGCAACGAGAATCTGCAATTCGTTCCAAGCTCAGGAGGTCGCAATTCAGAGCAGGGTTGGTGGCCCTGAAATTGCATTTGGACTCTGATGTTAAGAGGAAAGTTATAAAATAGTCTTTGTTTTGTATAATCATTTTCCTAAATTCCTGTTTCTTTGATACTAACCAATTTATAATTTTGGGTAAGGGACTGAATTGGGTTTTGCCCAATCAGTCCCTTGTCCTGTAAATTAAAATTATTGCATGATTATATACATCTTTGTCAGCAATATGGCCATCAAGAAAAATGGTTCAGATTTTGTTTGGTATGTTTTATGTATAAATTATTCATTTTCCCAAATTTTCTGTTTCTCTTTAATTTTTATTTGACCAACTGAATTTGTTATTTAATGGGATAGGGTTGGTGAGATGGCATGTCACAATAACCCAGATTGTAACACAAAATCTGATTCTCATCAATGATCAATGTCCATTTGATAACAGCCAGCCTGGTCTGAGGGGAGGATAAGAGAAAGTTTTGTCAAAGCCTTCCAACATCTTTACGACCAGTTCACCTGTGGGAAAAAAAACTCCATTGGTGCTGAATGTGTTAAAATACGCCGTCTTGCATGTTTGTGATAAGAAATTTTAATTAAATCTGACACTTGTGATCAACATCAGATTTATTATATACAATAGGAACTACAATATTTTTTTTTGATGCTCCCATTTACTTATTCTTGTGGACTGGATAGTCACAAATTATTAAAAGTTTCATTTCTGCATGGCCTTAGTTTATTGTTGTGCGTGAAAATCAAATTTGTGTCGAATACAAAACTCAGTTGGCTAATTTGAATTTCACACAGATTCCATATTCACGCACAACATCATTACTACCTGGGTGATGCAATTGTTTGTTATGTCAATTATAACATCAAATGTATTAAATAATATTCATGGCCGTCATGAATATTTGATGGATGGAGACATTCACATATAAGGAAATGATTAAATAGCGCTTTATTAAAGATGTATAATTAATTATATTTAAAATGTACAATAAAAAAATTACATGGAATCCAAGACTGCACCACTATGTCAATCAAGATATCAAAATTCTTTTGTGCTAATTTAGGACCCATCTTTCTTTGCTTATATGTAATCTATTCGTTCTCTTTTTACTGGTTGAATGATACAAAATTGGGTAATGGGGTATCAGTAAATATCAGAATCTGATGACCAATATTCTTTAAAAAAATAATTAAAGTATTTGGCATACCGATATTGAAAGTGCTGATATTTATCAGATATTTTTCTATTTTGTAGTTAATTATTGGCCTAATTTAATAAACCAATAGCTCTTTTATATTGTAATTAAGTTATTTATTTCTAAAGCTCTTTTACTAAAATAATATCATAATCTTGAGTAGTAGTTAGGATATTTCTATTCGAATAAGGTTTACTCGAATAAAACAAATAATTTGAGTAAAAAATAATTCGAATAATTTGGGTAAAAAATACAACGAACAAAACGAACAAAACGAATAAAACAAATAGCTTTCATTGTGAAATAATTAATTTTGTTCCTTTGGTGCTAATGATTGAATCGATCACACAAGCAGTAGTCAATTTAAACGGCATTGTTTTTAAAGAATTTATTCAAAACAATATTATTAATGATTTTTAATGTTACAAATTTTTTTTTGATACATATGCTTTAAAGTTTATTTTTTTGATAAATAATAATTCAATAGATTTTATTAGAATTGTCGACGTGTTCATCTTTATATTAAAGCAAACAATCCAGGACCCATTTCAAATCAACTAATTTCGAATTGATGTTATATAAAGATAAATTTTAAGAATTTATGGCAGTTTTTTTTTCAATGTTCAAAAATTAGCCCATATGTCTCTCTTTCTACAGCGAGCATCTTGATGGAATATGTATATTAATACGCACAGACAGAACAAAAGAATCGCTATACAAAGAGTGATACTGTTATTCAAAAGCAATGCAATATGGTACGCTCAACAATTAAATTAATTGTAATAAAATTTATTAATAATTATATAATTATATATACGTTGATCAAGAACTAAGGACTGATCTGAGATCCTATATCTCTAATACTTGAAATATATTTTTTTTGGAAGTGCAAATTCACATAGAAATTTTCTGGCTGATCTTTATTTAAAATGGCAAATGACTATATACATAATTGCCAACAGTGTATGTACAATAATGGGTATTAGTATATTTTTGGAGGAAAGAAAAATCAATTTCCGGATTAATAGGCCGAATTTTGGAAAGAACATACATAACTCGGCCCAATTTCGTGTGACTTATTTTTGTGATTTGGTTGAACGGCACAATATTTGTCCAAAATATTTATGACAGTCAGTTATTCGTAATAATGATAATATTTGTGGTCATTCATAATATTGCCACCGACATAGAAATAAACCAGATACAAAGATATAGCCCATTCTCACCTGTTTATATTGGTGGCGCAAATTTTGAATTAGCATAAAAGTATAAAAGTATGATGTTTGCCTTTTCCAATTTGAATTCCTTCTTTTGGATTTAATATTTAATCCTCTGTTACCCAAATTATAGTGTTGCGGTCACTTTCACTTTGTTCAAAAGAACTTTCGAACTATACAATGTTTACGTTTAATAGAAACTTCCCAGTTCTGCTAAAGCAAAACATAAATAATCATGATAATCCAATTACTTTAATTGGCAGTGAATCAACTTAATTGTTGTTGAATCATAAATTTAATCACTTGTTCTATTTTAAATATTCAAACGCCTGCCTCCTTTCTTTTTTTATTTGTATAGATATGTGTCTTATTTAATAAATATTTTAATTTTAAATATTGGTGACTTGTTGCTAATTTATTGATCAATAATGACTTTACCATTTGAGTTTTTAATTAATAATATGTTTATTGAGAAGGGCGTATGCCAAATGAAACAAAACATGCAATAAATAATAAGACTGAGATGCAATACCATATTACGTTAGGCTGAGTTTTCACTAATACAGAGTATAAAAAATCAAATAGTGGTGGAACAATTATACGAAGAATTGAATCTACTACACTTATTCCGCCTAAGAATTGACCAATTTGAGATGGAGATATTAGATTTGTCTGCAACGATTTTATTGCAGGGGTAGTTATTATACCCAAAGAAGCTATCACTGTTACTGTAATAAATTGAAGTGAGAAAAGGGGATGATGAATTAGAAAGATGAGGCAGATGGCAAATCGCAAGTACAGATAAAAAAAGTAAATTTGTTTCAAGTTACCAGCATTAAATACTGCACCGGACTTTGCTAGGCCATATGCAACATGAGATAGAGCGTCAATAAAAAATATCAGTCTGATTAATTGGACTTCTGATATTAACTCATTTTTCATCAGTTTCTCGTCATCTTTATCATTCACATTATCTGCGAAAATCTCGACATCCATACCATTGTCATCTTCAATAACTATTTGCTCTTCTGTAC